GAGGTTGCTGTGAGCTAGGCTGATGCCATGGCACTCTAGTCCAGGCAACAGAGTGAGACTCTGTCTCAAAAAAAAAAAAATTTCCCTCCATAGAATCAAGCTTAGCATCTTTTCTTTCTCTGTGCTGTCAAAGGAAAGGAGATACAGAAATATAAAAAGCTCTAACTTTTTAACATGAATAACTAACAGTTAACATTCACTGAGCACTCTCTGTGTGCTAGGTGTGCTGGGCATTTTAAAAAGTGCTTCCCATGTATTATCTCATTTAATCCTTATAAAATTCAAACAGTAAGAACTACTACCATCCCAGTTAACTATGAAGAGACTGAAGCATACAGAAGTTAATTTGTCCATGGTCACACAGCTTGTTAAGTGATGAAATCCTGATGCATACCAAGGCAGATTACATTAAGTGTAGGGTGCATTACATGCATTTTCCAAAATTAATTATCACAACAACCCAATGAGATAAGTAATTATTTTCCCTCATATTACAAGTAAGGAAATCGATTCTTAGTGAGATTAAGTAGTTTAAAAACCACTAAATGGCAGAGCCCAGACTCTACTGTCCTCTAATTGGCTCCTCTGGGCAGGCGTAGTTTCCAGGTTGTAAGGGAGGGAGCCCCAACTCCTCTGTTTTGGTCAGTCCTGGTATGATAATTATTATAATTTTTTTTTTTTTTTGAGACAGAGTCTGAGGCGTCATCATAGCTCACTGCAACCTCAAACTCATGGGCTCAAGTAATCCTCCTGCCTTAGCCTTGCAAGTCACTGGGGCTATATGTGAGTGCCAACATACTAAACTAATATTTCCTGTTTTGGGTAGAGATAGGGTCTTGCTCTTGCTAGGGCTGGTCTCAAACCCCCGAGCTCAAGCAATCCTCCTACCTCGGCCTCCCATAGTGCTAGGATTATAGATGTGAGCCATCACACCCAGATAATAATTAATTTTAATACTGGCTCCCTGTGCAGGTCTGTAGCACCTTTGTTCTTTTTCTTAGTTGGCTTTTTAAATATACTATAACCAGTTTATGGTATTTTAAAAGAAAGCTTTTTTAAAAATTAATACTCAATTGAATGAAATCCAGAATAAAAGAAAGACTCTATAACCCAAGAGAATTTAATGTTAATTTTATTTTAAAATCCATGAACACAAGACCAGCCTCAGCAAGAGCAAGACCTTGTCTCTACTAAAAAAAATAGAAAGAAATTAGCTGGACAACAACAACAACAAAAATATATATATAAATTAGTAGGGCATGGTGGCACATGCCTGTAGTCCCAGCTACCGGAGAGGCTGAGGCAGAAGGATCACTTGAGCCCAGAAGTTTGACGTTGCTATGAGCTAGGCTGATGCCACAGCACTCTAGCCCAGGCAACAGAGTAAGACTCTGTCTCAACATAAATAAATAAATAAATAAAATCCATGAACATATTTACACATTATGTCCTCTTTCCTGGAGAAATTTATTTTGCAACCACAAAGATAAACAGGAATTATTGGGGGTGGGCAAGGTAATTGGTTTTTTATTGCAAAGTATCTGAATATGTACTTTTAAGAACACCATATGAAATCTTAGGTGGAGCATATGCAGTAACCTCTCCCTTCAGTTACCAGACTTATCTTCCTCTTAGTCAAACCATTTTTACCATACCTCTTTTTGATTACACACTATAAATATTTACATCATAGTATATACAATTAAATGTGAAATTATATAAAGCTAAGTATAAGTGTAAATTTTTAAAAAGTGAGGAGTTATGTGGAATAAACAGAGCAAGCTATATAAAAATGGACGAATGTGCCTGGCACAGAGCTGGTGCTCAATAAACAATAGATGTCATTAATCCTTCATTTCCAAGCAAAAGAATTTGGATCTGGTGAGGTAGGCAGTAGGGAACAATCACAGAGTCTATCATGTGATGTTCTAGTACTACTAGACTTACTAACTACTATAATCAAGCTATTAATATATTAGAAAAATTCACTGACTTAACCAAAATTTATTAAGCACTGTGCTAAGTGATGAGTAAGTAGAAATAAGACATGGTCTTCTACAAATTCAGAAGACAGAAGGGCAGATGGGTAGCCCAGGAGGATCAGACTCAATCCACAATAAAATGTTAAAAGTGACATGAGAATTATCTATCAAAGGTAATCAGAGCACGGAACACTTACTGACAGGCTGCAAATCAGAAAAGACAGTTCCAAAGATGTAACCGTTTGAGCTAGCCTAGAAGGAGACCAACTAAAAGTCTGTTGCAGTAATCCAGATATGAGATATGGACTAGGATAATGGCAGTGGAAACTGAGGAAGGACATTCTGAAGGCTGTAACGAGTTGGTCTCTGCTGATAAAGAGATCCTAAAGTATTTTCTCCCATAATTATTTTACTAACTCTATATTGACACCCAAATGCTTTCTTAATTTTTCAGCTATGTTTTGGGGTCATGGAAAAAAGCACATAACAGAAAATAATTTTGCAGTCACCACATTCTATAAATTAAACCCAGCTGAAATTTTAAAATAAGTATTTCCTCTAGCTTAGCAAATCATTTTTTTCCAAGATTAGGCTTCTCGATTAGGTAGTTCTGCTACCTCAAGTCACAACAGTGTTGACACTCTTTGCTTGTATTAGACAACACCTGAGAATGGCTATGCTGTGTGTCATTAAGTACATGTGAGACAAGAAGATTTGCAACTGCAGCCATAGAAGAGAAATATTGTAAGCTCCTGTTTTTCATAGAACACCACCAAGAAGAAAAATCCTTTCCATCTCAATCATTCAGATTATATTTTCTCTTAAGGATAAAACATTTTAGATGATAATACACTTACTTATTAAGTCCAGACTTTATCTTTGTAATGTTCTCAGAACAGGAATGGAACATCTTGAGGAAACCATAGTTCATGGTAAGAAAAAAGGACAGGTACAAAGATAGTTCTATGCTTAAATGTGGTGTTGAAAAATTCATCTCCAGTATAGGAGACAATTTCATTTTTAAAAAGAGAAGCAGAACAGTGGAAATGAAATGAGATATATACCTTATAAATATAACTTTTTTGGTCACACAAATACACAGATACTTATAGCAGTTTGATTCACTTGGAAAAGTTACTTCTAGGAAGAGTAACTTCTGTCTCTTTAAGGACCACAACAGAAAATGGAAGTCAATAGTGAGATGGGACTGGCTGTAAAATGCTCCAATGAGGTCCTGGGAATCTTGCTGAAAGGGGACATTTGGGGCTGGACCAAAACGTCTGCTGGGAAGTGAAAAAAAAAGAAAAAGGCAAAGTTAGGCAAGAGAATTCTTTAAAAAGAAGGAAGGTAAATTTGAGTCAATCTACTTTCAATTTTAAAGAATGGTAGAATAAGACTCTACGTACAAAAATACAATTAAATTGAATTAGATAGATAATACTGAATGTAAGATATTTTAGCAGCTTCCAATTTCTGAGCATGTTTCAGAAATGTCTTTTTTTAAAAAATAGCTTCAGAGTAGATCAGGGTTATATACCCTTTTACTTACCCCATCTTTAATATTATTTTAATGTTCCCATTTCTTGATTTTAAACCCAGGGACATCCACCAAGATTGAAGGCTTAGTAGTATCAGAAACAGGGGCCCACTTAAGTTTCTTTCTTTCTAGTCTCAAGAACTGCCCTCTTATCCGCAGCACCTCCGATTGTTTCAATATAGTTTAAGTATTTTGGGGATAAGATGTTGACATACGAAGAACTGTGTCGTTTCTGTGACAATGGCTGTCAGCTACTCTGGCTTTTCTGTCCCACAGGACATACATAACTTAACGCACCGTGCATTTTCCGTCTCGATCCTTACACCGACTCCCACCCTGGCCCGGCTCCCTCGACAGTGTCACACTTGAACAAAACAAGTGGAGATGCGGTGTGCTTCACGCGCACGAAAGCCTAGGTTTGGTGATTCTCGACTGCGCTGCACGTTGGTGGTAGGGTTCACATTCGAGTTTAACGGTGGACAAGGAGGAAACACAAAACACACGGAAAACCACTGCAGCGTGCTGTGCCGCAGGTGAGGGGCTCCGCACGGTCCGAGTGCGGGCGGAACGCGCGGGGCTGCGGGCCAGGCGGCCGCCCCCGGGCACGCGGCAGGGAGGGGAACGTGAGCCGGAGCGAGCCGCTATCTCGGGGCGGGAACTGCTCTCAGCCCTGCACACCTCACAAGTCCCTCGTTCCTTCTGTCGCCTCCGGCCCCTTGTCGCCCTCGCCTCCATCAGAGCGCACGGGAAAAGAGAAAGAGGCAGTTCAGGAGCAAGAGAGGGTGTCAAGTACTGCGAGTAACTGACACAACTACACAGTGGCGTCTCCGGCAGCGCCCCTGCCACGCGTGCGCCCGCGCTCACCGAGACGCCCCCACCTCGGGGGGGCGGGGGGAGCGGCGAGCCCCAGAGCGCCCAGAGCCCTCGCGGCGCCCGGGCGGCGCAGAGCCAGCCACTGACCTTCCCGCACCGCCGCCACCCGGCCGGGGCCGCCGGGGACTACAGCTCCCGGCAGGCCTCGCGCCGCCGCGCGCCCCCGCCCCGCGCGCCCCGGCCCCCCGCCCTCGGCCTCGGGACGGGACGGGGAGGGAGCGAGGGAGGAAGGGGCGCCGGCGGCGGGCGGGATCCTGCGAGGCGCGTGAAGCCTCGCTGGCGCCGCGTCGGGGACCCAGACGCTGGCGGGCGCGGAGTTTCTCGCGACTGGCCGAGCCCGCCACTGTAAGTAGTCGCCTCAGGGAGCGCGGAGCAGACACCGAAAAAGTTCGCGCTGCCGCCGCCGCCGCCGCTGCCGCTTTGTTCTCGCAGCCCGTCGGGCTGAGGCGGCGGCGGCCCCTCCCCCACCCGCCCGCACGCGGCGGCGCCTGCGGAGGCGGCGGGACTCGGACTCGGACTCGGCGCGGGGCTGGGCGGCGGCCGCCGCGCCGGGCGGGAAGTTGGGGGAGCGCGCGGCGGGCGGCCGAGGGGGCGCGGGGTGCTGGCGCGGCCGCCAGATGGGGCCAAGTTCCGGCGTGCGTGCCGAGGCCAACTTGGATTCGCGCTCCGCTGGCGACCACCGCGTCCGGCCCCTTGGAGACGATCTGTTCCCGGGTCCCCCAAACTAGTTCCCGACGCCAGACCCGCGGCACTCCCAGTGCTGAATTTGGGGGGAACCTTTTTCGTTTCTTTTCATCACTTTACGTTGTACCCGCCTCAAAAGGGTGAGTAAATGATGTTTGGAGGACGTAAGTCACCCCTATCCCAATTCCCTGACTGCGTCTATATTTGCAAGTTGCTGCATTGCTCTGAGTTGTTCTCACTCCCGGGGGGTTTTCTTAAGATGAAACAGGAGTGGTGCGACGGTTTCTGTGAGCAATGAAAATAACCACATACTACTCGATTGCCTGTTGGATATTTTATTTCAAGTCATTACAGTCAGAGGCATAGGCCTTGTCTGCAAGCACGAATATAAATTCAGTGACCTGCAGACTTTTCCACACACAGATTGATGGAATGGACGTAACTGTCTTTTCAACCACACCCATCCTTGCAGGAAATAAGACTATCGGTGTCGTCTTTGATTAGGAAGGATAAGTTACACCCTGAACTACTACTACTTTGTACGACACAGCCTTTATGAGCTATAGCCACAAATGAAACTTGTAAAATGTCTTAATTCGTACTCTAGAAAATGTCATTTTATTACTCTCAGACTGCTTTTTCTTTGTACTTAAATGTTGGCAGTTCTTACACTTTTACAGACTTTGATTTTGCTTAGAGCAAGCTTACTTATAAACTTATAATGTAATGAGAGCGCGGAATACCTATGGATTTGCTGCAGAAAGCTTCCATAAAGTTCCCTGACTGAGATTTTGGCCAGTTGTACTCTGTAAAGGAACCTTCCCCTCCTCTCTTGTTTAGAATATGGGTTGAGCTCAAGCTTGGAGATTCAGCTAAAAATAAGTTGCAACTTTTAGTTAAAGTAGTATTTAAAACGTGTCACAGAACCATGGTAGGCTTTGCTTCAGTAGGTAATATAAATGTGGGCCTGAACACATTTACTTGGAGTATTCCTATTTGACAAGCCAGTTTCCATCGTAGGTTCCATAGTTTAGTATATGGCATTTCACATTTCAGGATGACTCAGATTCAATAGTGCTGACTAGTTTATATCTCAAAACTAATTTTTTAAGCATTCCAGGTAGTGGTGAGCCTTTTAGTTACACAGATTTTATAAGCTTTCAGTTTCATCAGATGACCTCTTTAAAATAGAAATTTGTGGCAGTGGATTTTTTAAAATTTAAACACTGTCATGGATTAAAAAAACTTAACAAATCAATCTTTTGTATATTAAATTTTAAAAATTATGTAAGAATTGAAAACACTTAATACAGGAGAAAAATGCATCGATGGTCGTTCAAATGTAATTTTATTAGAGGACGTTTTGTTCTGATTTTTAAAAAGACATTCTAAAGTTGATGAAAATACTACCATAGTGGAGTTGTTTAGTTTTAAAAGAAACTACTTGTACAGAATTTGATATATGGGGAAATTATTTGCTAGTACTCGTTTTAATTTGATTTAATAATGATACTGCTTATGATTCACAATATCCTGTGCTGATTATACTTTGAGTTTCTCTGATTATGTAATTCATATTGAACTTGTTATATTTGTGTGCCTCTTTGGTGTAGTCATGTCAAGAAAAACTTGAGATAATGCATTTAGGAGATGTTTTGATTTTAATTTCAATGTAGGAAGAAAGTTTCCTCCACTTGTGTGGTTAGTTGATAGTGGCAGTATGTGAGAAATTGCCATTGGCCATTAGCCAATCAGATTTCTTAGATAGTCCTGGTGCAGAGATGAAGCTCTATCAAGCTCAACACAGATTCAGATTACATTGCCAGATTGGTAGGCTGTAATCTTATTACTGGATAAATTTTCAGTGCCTGAGCAGAGAGCAGACATGGTGTTCTACTCTCTGACAGTGGAAGGCCTGAGATTCAAATACCACTGGTACAGAACAGCAGAATTTTAGAGGAAACAGTTTAGCCAAACGCTGAGCTCTTAGGAAGGAAAGCATTATATTAATCTGAGCTAATAATCATGTTTTTGAAAAAATATAAGTAGATGTAGGGCTTACTACAAAATATGTATTTTTTAGAACAAACAAGATATTTGAGGTGTTTTTTTTTTTACACTATATACAATATAAAAACAACAACAGGATTATTAAAGTCAAATCTGTATCAAGGTAAAACGTTGACATTGACTTCAGGACACTGGTTAGTATTGCATTGAAAAGGGCTACATGCTTTTTTACATACTAAAAAAATACTTATACATATCAAGGGAGGAACACAGTCCTCCACTTCATCAGCATTTCTAGCACACAAAACTAAATTGATATGGAATACTCTTTACTAGTAGAGAATCATGGTAAATATTATGTTATTCTAAATAGGAAAAGCATTTTAATCTCTTCACTTTAGACTTTTTTGAGTACCGTACAAAAAGAATGCTGGCTACACTAAATAATGAGCTTCCTTTTGAAGTATTTTATAACAAGATGTGTTTTTCCTTCCTGGAATCCTCTTGCCTCTTTCTCTGCTTCCCTAACTCCTACTTATCCAAAGGTCTCAACTTAAATATCACTTCCATAAAGGATCCTTCTCTGAAATCCCAGCTGAAATTGGGTCCCTGTAGTATATACTCTGTTATACCACTTTTTATAGTTTGTAATTACCTAGCTATTTATGAGAATGTTTAATGTCTGTGTCCCACATAACACTGAGTTCTGGAAAGAGTAGTGGCATGTCTGTTTTGCTTACTGCTATTTAACTCCAGTGTCTCTCATAGCAGTCTAGAAAATAATAAGTACTCAGTAAATATTTATTAAATGAAAATGCTACTGTTAGAGTTTCTCCTGATTAGAGACCGTTAAAATATGAGATAATGTGTGCATGGGGGAAGAGGAGAAAAGGGGAGAGGAAGATAGAACAACTTGTGATACTACATGAAGTAACCCTCAAGTAAGTCCTGTAATGTCCAGGGCTTTTGTTTCACCTTGTCTGTAACAATAGGGCAGACTAGGCTCAAGATGCCTTAAACATCCTATCTTTTGATTCCATTCAATATTGACGACAGATTATGTAAACTTGTTTGAATGCAATATGTGACAGATAATTCTGAAAAAAATATTTGAGATGTTCCATATAAACATATTAGAAATGCTTGCCAGTTAGACGTGATTGAGCCTCTCATAGCTGTTAGAAACATATACAATCGATATATAATTTATAAATTAGTAAGATGTACTATTTCAGTTTTCTAATTGAAGCATAAAGACAAAATTAAGCATTCCAAGGTTCTTATAATTTAGAGTTATTAAATTTAATATTTTATACCCTACATCGTGTTGCATCTTACAGAGCAAATCAGGGGTCTACAGACAAAAGGAGAGAGAAAACAGATGGGATGAGTGGGCATAGCTAATATGATAGCTCCTTAGTTTCTTCTATTTATGTTCATGCTGATAATAACTTTTATATGAAATTATATATTATAAATAGTTAACATTAGTTCTGATAAATTAGTCAATTGTATTAGACAGTTGCTGTTATTTGGCTAATATTACTAGTTATAATAAAGTGGAAATTTACTGTGAAGACAGCTGTCAAAATAAATTGTTATATAACACAGTAGTGTCTTATATTTTGAAGTAGTTAACTCATGTACAGTGTTATTCATAGGTATTTTACTACTTTCTTGTAATAAATATCTACTCAATCAGATATGTTATAGAGCTAATTACCTCATGGGACAACCTGTTATGTTTTTGGATGTGGAATGAAATAGAAAGTACGTGGCTTTGGAGTCAGGGAAACTTTAGTTTGGATCTCATTTTCATCACTTATTAGCTATATTTAACAACTTCTTTGAAACTCTGGTTCCTTTTCTGTAAAATAGAGTTAAACAGATCTCCTAGTATTGTTCCAAGGATTTAATGAAGTATCATGGTCTCACTTGCAGTGTTTAGCATAAAGTAGGGATTTAATTGCTAATTCCTTCAACTAATTACTATGAAAATTACTAAAACTTACTGAGCACTTACTGTGAGCCAGGTACTGATATAGGTACTTTATATGCAGTAGCTCAGTCCTTACAACCTGTCAGTAAGTACTGCTGTCCTCTTTATTTTACATCTTCTCTCTGCAATGATACTGAATAAAACCAATTCTGTTAATACCTCTTCAGATATTTAAAAACCACTTATTCTGTCTATATGAAGATTTGTTAAGCATATTTTTGTCATGTGACATTTTTTACCTTTATCTGGAAGCATGATTTCTTTTAAAAAAATGAATATATTAATAGCTCTGAAAATGTAGACCATAGAAATAAACAATAGTGATATAGACTGACAAGCAAGGAGTATACAGATTGATACTGTTATGTCCTCAGTGTCCTGGAGCATTAGGTTTACATTAGCTCTTTTAGTCACCCGTTATATTAACAGCTGGTATTAAACTCTTGGGTTGATAACCGCTTCTCATACGAACAACTTTCAAGTTAGCATTTTCCCATTTCTGTAATGCATGTTTAACTTTTTGAAACTAAATACAAAGCTTTGCACTTCTCCTTAATTTTCACTTTAATTTTTTAGTTTATTTCTCCCAGATTTGTTCAACCTGAGAATTTTATAAACATGTTTTTATTATCTCATAAGTAATGAAAAATAGGGCTAAGGACATAGCTCCACTCCCCTAAAGACTTTCCTCGTCTAAATTGACATAGAGCAGCAGACTTACCCTACTACACTAACATCCAACTCACACTGAAGCAGCATCTTTACAAAAATAGTATAACCATCTTGAATATTATTTTTGTCAGAATACAGTATCTTTTTTTTGGCTTTGCTAATTGTGTGATCTTGGGCAAGTACTTTAATCTGTGAACCTGTGTTTTCTAAACTATAAAATGGGTTGTTGAGAAGATTAAGTGAGATAATACATAAAAGTGCTTAGAACAGTGCCTGGCAGATAGTAAGAGCTCAATAAATGTAAACTATTATTATTTTGTCCATCTAAGACTGTGGTCCCCAACCTCTAGGGCCACAGACCTGTCTCTGGCCTGTTAGCTCAGCAAGAGGTGAGCAGCAGGCCAGTGAGGCTTCATCTGTATTTACAGCCACATCCCATTGCTTGCTGATCACCGCCTGAGCTCCATCGCCTCCATCACCCTATCCACAGAAAAACTGTTTTCCATGAAACTGGTTCTAAAAATGTTGGGGACCACTGATCTGAGAAGTCTAATAGTCAGTTTTTTCCAAGATGTAAACGTGGTTGATTTGGCATTACTTGTTTTGTTTGAATTCAGGCTGACATCTATCTAGTGATCATCATGTTCTTCTCTAGTTATTCACAAACCATTTGCTTCATATTTAAGTTTTCTGTAATTTCTGAAATTTGCTTTCCCACTTCTCCAGCCCCGTGGACTTGAAGCAACTCTACCCATATTCTGTCTTTCTGAGCGCTTTCTTCAAGATTATGGGAATCAGCTTTGTGATTACACTTGCTGATTGCTTTAGTAGTATGGAATGGATTTCATCTGGGCCCAAGAGACTCAAACTCGCCTAAAATTGTTTTAGTCTCTTACTCATCAGGCTCAGGTTTCAGTTCTCAACGTTTTTCTGCAGCTTTGGTTTAAAAGCTCTTGGAGAAGATAAGCAAAATACAGGTTGAGCAATCTATGTGATCTCTCAGCCTTAGCAACATCCTCTGAGCAGTGATTCTCTCAGTTCCTTGTTCTGTTCAAGAAATAGTATGTTATTGTGGAGAGAGCATTGGGTAAGAAAGCATGAAACCTGGGTTCTAATTCCCACTCCACCTCTTAATAGCCATGTAATACTGAGCAAGTTGTATTATCATCTTGTACCTTAGTTTTCTCATCTGTAAAAATGATATTTGCCCTGTCAACTTTCAAAGAAGTATCATGAGATAAAGTATGTAAAACATTTATGAACTATCACGTGTTGTACAATATAAGATGTAATATTTATTTGAATGTAGCTATAAAAGCTTTTATCTTTAAGCAGTGTTTTTCTAAGTCTCAGTTTTTCAAGCTTTCTCATTATTTATACTATATCTTTGTTTTTGTTCTTCTGTCATGTTCATCCTTTTCTAGCCCCATTAACTACTCTGCAGCCACACTGGATGCTTCACTCTTTTTCATCATTGGAATTGTTTATGGGTATATAGATGGAACTTAGAAGGATCCATCTCTAGTGAGCCATTTCACTTGGTCATGAGGAATTATACCTTTTTCTTTTTTTACTTTTAGAACTGTGTTTTTCTAAAAACTATGATACATAGTTAATTAACTATACCTAGTGTTTTCTTTCTTACTGTTAGAAATCGCTGTGGTTTATGGCTGTACATACCACCCTGAACATGCCTGATCTTGTCTGATCTAGGACACTTACGCAGGGTTGGGCCTGGTTAGTACTTGGATGGGAGAAATCTCTTATGATGAGATCACTTTTTCCTATGTTTCTGTCATAAGTATGTCAGATTTCACACTTTGTTGGACATGTACCTTTCAGTATATCCCCTCTTGCTTCCTTAGGCTTCTGAAAGGAATTTTCAACAAAACAAGTCAGCAGTTGTATTTTGACAGAATTAGGCTTTTAATATAAAAAAAGAATACTCTTAAATTATCTTTATTAGGACTGTATTATACATCTTTTATATGGCTAGGTGATAGGTATTCTATGTATATTTTATATCTATGACAATGTCAACTTTACTCTTTTTTGTCTTGACATAGCTCAGTTGTGTAATTGTAGAATAAAAGTATTTGATCTTCATAAATTAAAAATAAAACAGATTTTTTTTAAAAAAAAGTAATCTTCAAGTGTCAGATAGTACTGAGGAGTGCCAGGGGTGGGTAGGTAGGTAGGTATGTATGTATGTATGTATTTATTTTTGAGCAGGAGATTGTCCCTGAAATTATACCTACAGTAAAAAATGGCTCTGATAACTAGACAAAAAATGGCTACTCATTAGGATTTATTAGTGAATTATAAACATGGGGCCAAAAATTATCATTTAAAAGAATTATAGATAATCTTACATTTTTAATTAATTTCAAATAAATGTAAAATGTAAATGTAAAATATTAAAACAAATAAATGTAAAATATTAAAACCTTTTTAAAAATTTCTTCTAGGCTGACTGCATTTCAGAAAGAATCAACTTTTTTCGATGGACCTATTCATCAAGTGAAATATATCAGAACTGTTTTAAGAAGCTTTGTACTTCATCATAGAAAAGTTCTTTCCTACCCCCCAGCCCCAATGAAAATGAGGACATTTGAAAAGTGATTTAAGGTGTGGACATTTGAGAAGGTGTCTCATCAAGTCAGTGAACCAAAGGATAAGTACTGAATAGATTAATCCAAAGCACTATTTTTAAACCAGGAGGATTTCATCTTGACAGAAAACCAACTGTTAATTTAATATGTCTTTTTCTGGGGTTAAGAGAAACAAGAATAGACTTAAAATAGATGAAGATATTTAGTAAATAAGCAATGTCAACTCTATTCTGATTAGGGTAACCGAGTAATGTTAAATACAAATCTGTGGTTGTGGTCCTAGAAGTAAGATACCTTTTTGATGGAACTGGTATTAAGAGAAGTAGCACCTTTTGTGCATTCAATTCAGTGATAAAACTTATAATCATCGGCATGAGTGGCTTAGAAGAGGAAATAAAGAAGCTTTCAACTAAATCCAAGTGTAGTCATTTTTTTTTTGCTGTTATTTTAAAAACCTCTTCATACTCACTTTAAAAGAATTGACAACTGTTTTAAAAGATTAAAGAAAGGCAGATGTCTGCAAATAATTCCCCTCCATCAGCCCAGAAGTCTGTATTACCTGCAGCTATTCCTGCCGTGCTTCCAACTGCTTCTCCATGTTCAAGTCCTAAGACAGGACTGTCTGCCCGACTCTCTAATGGAAGCTTCAGTGCACCATCACTCACCAACTCCAGAGGCTCAGTGCATACAGTTTCATTTCTACTGCAGATTGGCCTCACACGGGAGAGTGTTACCATTGAAGCCCAGGAACTGTCTTTATCTGCTGTCAAAGATCTTGTGTGCTCCATTGTTTATCAAAAGGTACTGTGCATGCTCTTCATGTCAATAGCTTTTCTAGGTAATGTTACTGTTGCTTCTCAGTAAGTTATACACAATGAGTTAACATATACGGATCTATCAATTCTGAGCATTTTGAAGCGTCCTAATAGACTATGAGCTAAAAGTCTGGAATATCAGTCTAACTAATTGGAACCTATATCCCAGATTTAAAAGACCACTATCCTTTTGTCTCTTAAGAACGGGAAAATCTGTATAAAGTCAAGGAGGCATAGGAAATCTCATTTGTTTTCAGAGAAAACAGGAGGTAGAAAAAGCACAAGGTATTGAGGTGGCATGAGGGCATACCAACGGCCAAGTCCCAGGTTCCCAGGTCCACACCTTGTTTTTTCTATGTGCTCTGTATTTTTCCCTGTGTATTTTGTTTTGTTTTACCCTTTTCCTTGTCTTTAGAGCCCGATTATTTTTTAGATAACCTGTTAATAGAAGATTTCAAACACAGGTCTGTCGTAACATCAAAGCGTATACACTCTTCATTGCACCATGCTGCCTTCCCTGTGCCAATGAAAAGTTTTACAGTTGATTTTTCTAAGCGTGGACAGGGTATTTGCACAGCAAAAGGAGATGCTCAGATCTGTTTTGAAAAGCTTAAATATGGCAACTGAGTGAGATAAAGTAGGGAGATCAGATAGGAGGCTGTTATAATGAAGACCTGAACTGAGGCCGTTGGAAAGTGATGACATATTTGAAGGATATTGGAAAACTAAAATTGGTAAAACTTGATACCCTGTTGAATATAAAGGAAGAACAAAGGGCGAAAGAAAGCCAACCTGAGTGACTGGATGGGTGTCAACGCTGGTGACCAAGATAGAAAAACCAAAAGGAAAAGTAAAGCTTTTTCTGGTAGAGATAATGTGATTGACTTACATTAAACTTTAATAAAATAGAGATCCTGTGTTGAGATTTAAGAGGGTCAAAGATGTGTTCTTTCACTTAGATTTTGCATAAGGATGTACATTGGGGCTTTTGTGTTTTGCTTGACCCTTGCAATGGAATCACTCATTATTCCTTAAGATGAACACTTCCAGCCGGGCACGGTGGCTCATGCCTATAATCCTAGCACTCTGGGAGGCCGAGGCAGGCGGATCGCTTGAGGTCAGGAGTTCGAAATCAGCCTGAGCAAAAGAGAGACCCGGTCTCTACTATAAATAGAAAGAAATTAATTGGCCAACTAATATATATAGAAAAAAATTAGCCGGGCATGGTGGCGCATGCCTGTAGTCCCAGCTACTCGGGAGGCTGAGGCAGAAGGGTTGCTTGAACCCAGGAGTTGCAGTTGCTGTGAGCTAGACTGACCCATGGCACTCACTCTAGCCTGGACTCTGTCTCAAAAAAAAAAAAAAAAGATGAACCCTCCCGATTCTTTCTCTGGTATCTTCTGCTCTTGTTGAGTAGAGTGTTCTGGAAATATCAGTTAGGTCAATTGGTTGATAGTGTGAAGATCTTCTATATCTTTATTATTTCTTTCTACATGCTCTATCAATTATAAAGAAAAGAGTATTAAATTCCTTCAACAATGATTCTAGATTTTTTGATTTTTTGTCAGGTATATCAAATTTTGCTTCATATTTTTTGAAGCTCTGTTATTATTTGAAAGCACATTTTGGATTTTTTATAACCTTTGATGTAGTGATCCCTTCTTCAATGTAACTTTTCTTATTTATCTCTGGTAATACCTTGTTCTGAAGTTCATAGATGCTCCTAGACTTACAATGGGTTTATGTCCTGATAAGCCCATGGTTAAGTTGAACATACTGTAAGTCAAAAGTGCATTTTAACTTATTGTATTTTCAATTTACAATGGGTTTATTCAAACATAACCCCATTGTAAGTTGAGTGTACTGCATGTGTATCACTTTTATACCATTGTAAAGTCAGAAAATCGCTAGTCAAAAATCATAAGCCAGGCACTATCTGTACTTTGGTAGTAATATAATTATTCCTTTTTTTAAAAAAAAAACATAGTGTTCGCATTGCAGTATCTTTTCAAATGCTTTACTTATAACCTCTTTGTGTCTTCATATGTCAAGTAGGATTTTTGTAGATTGCATATAGTTGGGTCATGCTTTCAATCTGTCAGCTTTTGCTTTTCAGGTGTTTAGACTATTTATATTTAATATAATTTTCAACATATGTGCATTTAAATGTATTTTTTGCTATTTTCTATTTGTCCATTTTGTTCTTAGGTCCTGTTTTTCTTTCTTTTCTGCCTTCTTTTGAATTGAGTTTGTCATAATTCCACTTTATCTCCACTGATGGTTTTTTACACTTTTTAAAAATTTCCTTTAGCAGTTACTGTAATGCAGGGGTCAGCAGTCTACATCCATAGGCCAAATCTGGCCCACCAGCTGTTTTTGTAAATAGAGTTTTATTTGAACACAGCATGCTTATTCATTTATATCTTGTCTATGGCTGCTTTCATTATAGTAGCAGAGTTGAATAGCTGTGGCAGAAACCATATGGCCCACCAAGCCTGAAATATTACTATCTGGCCTTTTACAGAAAATGTTTGCAAACTCATGCGTCTTTATCATAGAGTATCTTCAGACAGTTTCATACCACTTTATATATAATGTAAGGTATGCCTTAAAATGGTATATTTCTGTTTTCTTCCTATTGTCATTTGTGCTATGTTGTCATACATTTTATTTCTATGTACAGTCAATTCCCATTATTTACAGTAGTTGTATTCTATAAAGTCACTGTGAACACTGAATTAGCAAATAGTGGACCATTGCACCTAGAGGGAATACAGGATTAGATTTCTACAAGCCTTTGGTCACAATGTTTTCATCAGCCAATAAATATACCCTCGTTTTATGTGTATTTCTGTTTAAAGACACCTTATTTAATATATATAGTTGATTCATTAAAATTGTACTCACAACCAGCAGCACTATAACTCATGCCTGAATGAAGCTTAGTTAACACACTTATTTACTCCATAAGGCACATCACAGACTTCTTGCACTGAGGAACACTAGACAGTGCTTCAGCACATGCTTTGGAACCATTTTAGAGGAATCACTAACAAAAAACAGAAAATGTGGTACTTAATAGACCATGAAAAGGACACTTATTTACACTGTAAGAGCTGAAACAAGAAAGCGGAGCTGAAACAGAAGATTTTCATTTGAAGAATACATAGTAGTGCAATGGAAAAGCTGTATTTGCCTCTGAGTTGTGCCATGACAACTAATGTATTGTTTTAAGATTTTTTCAATCCCAGCCTACTCTTGGAAATAGGTTGAAGGAATGTGAACCAAGCTCCTTGTCACATTTTTCCATGATTCAGTAATTTTTTATAAAATATTAACTTGGTTACAATCAAATGAATAAGTTAATATATATACTTGGACAAATGCAGACTTTATTTTAATGTTTTTGTCTATTTTTTCCTTTAAAAATCTTATCCAGTCTACTTTTAAATAGCCCACAAGAAGATATTCTGATTACTCTATCATTGAACATTTCCCGATGACCAGCTTTTTAAAAATTAGAAGCAAAATATTCAAAGTTTATTTTGTCATATTCACGGAAAAGGCTCTATTTTCAAAAATCTTTTACCATAGGCCACGTGTTATAAAGGATCAGGATTCTTAAATATTTATAAATTCTGTGCCTTTGGTTGCAAGGTTATGTGCAACTTAAATATGACTTGATTTGTAACAGTGGTTTGCAACCCAGGCTGCACCAGAGAATAACCGAGGAGCTTAAACGGGTCCTTCCCTGCCCTGCATATTATATTATTAAGTCAGGATCTCTGGGAGGGGGGAGTCTTTTTTAAGAGCTCTATCTATGATTCTAATGAACAGCCAGAGTTTAGAACCTCCATTCTAATGGAAATCAGTAAGCTTAAGGATCAGGTAAATAGTAATCTGAAGATATGTTTTTTCAAATACTTAAATTTTATATTTTGTTCTATAACATGCCAATTTATAATTCAAACTTTCAGTGAGGCCTACATATGATTGATTATAGGTTACTATGATATTGAAAATTGTATTAATAAATAGAAAATAAATGCTAGTGATTTTTTTTTTTTCTACTGGGCAGTTTGCATAGAGCTAAATAATGTGATACAGTTGTACCTTACCAGGATCCCATTATCTGTTACGCCTTTGCTTCAATTGAACAAATATTTATGGTACACTTACTCTTTTCAATCACAGTGCCAGATAACTGTGGGGGCTCCCAAGATGAAAGAAAGAGAAATTCCCTGTCCCTGTGTTTTATGCTGTAGAAAGGGAGAAGATGACCAGATGTCAAATTACTGTAATACAAGGTAGATTATGATAAGTCCTGAGATAAAGGTATAAAATGGTAAAATGAATCAAAGGAAGGAGAACTACCAGTTTGTTGGGGGGAGTCATGAAAGCTTAGGTTTTAAACCATACTTTTTGCTTTTGTCATCACCAGCTGTAGTACTTCACCTGGGGAAATAAATCCCAGCAGCTGGTACAATGCCTTGCTACTACTCTCTGATAGCTTGTAGCATGGATAATACAAGATGCCTTTAACATCCTCAGTAGTCAACGAGAGAGCAGAAACCAGTCTATTTATGCACATACGGACTCTTTTGCATGGTCAAATGAATAAAGTTGTGATTCTGCTTCCCAGTAGTACTCTAAATTTTATGTGAGCTGTACCTAGTTATTCAAGAAATTCATGGTGATCTCTGCCTTTCTTGCTCTTGGAATTAACTGCACAAATGTTTGTAGTTAGTAGCAATGAGCAGGTGACAGAAATATGTGATTGCTTACGTAAGGTATTATTGCAGGTTTACTTGCAAAATATACAGATGATTCACAGTGGCATATCTCTGGTCCAGATTCCTTTTCTAAGCTTAACACATGCCACATTATGTCTTATAATTAGCCCTTTGTGCTTGCTCTTTCTCTGCTACACCCTTTCTCTGCCACATCCAATTCTTAGACCTCTAGCAAATCTTTTCCTGTGTAGGT